AGAGCTTTTGTCCTACAGTAACTAGGAAAAAGTAAAACTTTTTTGTTCATTTAAAATATTACTTTATTCATGATACTGTTTTAATTATATTATTTTTATTATAACTTTCTATTATTTGTTGTATCTTAGCTGAGAGGCCTTTATCTCCATTTACCGCACTGTATTTCAATATTGATATTGTTTATATGAATGAATGAGTGAGTGAATGAATGAATGAATGAATAAATGAATGAATTAATTAATAAATGAACGAACGAATGAACAAACGACGGAATTATGCAATATACGTATATGTTAAAACAAATTGTCTGTAGAAAGTATATGAGTTGTAATATTCTAAAAATTACATATTATACATTCATTTTTTTTTCCTATACATATCCTGTTGTTGTTGATGTTGTTGTGTTCTATTTCAGAAGGCCACATTGGAAATAAGATATATATGATTGTTATTGTATGTTATTAATGTATAACCTTCTTTAAATAAAGATATTATTTTTATTATTATTATTATTATTATTATTATTATATAAAAAGGTAGCAAGATCTATTAATATGTTTCTGAAATGTTAAATTCAAAGAAAGTAAAGGCAAATTTAACGCTTAATCCGGATACTCTGTATTATAACTAAATCCATCAAGTGTTATTATAAATAATGGCATAAAGTAGACATGTCCCATGCAGTAAATGGATGTGTAACCCGAGATGTCTGCCATATAAAATGATTTATTTAAAAAATAAAAATTTGAATATTTTTTAAGAATGGTTATTATTTTTATTGCACTATACATTAAAACAGATTTCAAGGATAAATAACAACATTTTTTTCCATGCACTTTCATATATCGAGTTACACAGCCATTCACTGCATAGGACTTGTCCATTTTATGAATTATTTATAACAACACTTGATGGATGCCTTCATTTACAAGACTCATTCATATTAAGCGTTAAATTTGCCTTTGCCTTTTGACTTAAACATTTCATAAACCTATTACAGGAACTCCACTGAGGTTTATAAGCCGAAAAACATGTAATTTTATTTTTTCACATAAAAAAACATAAGCACTAAAACATAAATATTAATAAAATATAACCAAGAAATATAGAAGAAATACATTGAAAATCATATGTTTGTGCTATTCTCAGTCCGATTTCAGTGAAAAGCGTTTAAACTCTTTTCAAATTTGTGTCATTTTTTCACTATTATAATTTTCCGGAAAAACGGAGCAAGCTAATCATCGGAAATTTTGCATATAAGTTATTAGTATAGATTTACATCAAATGGAGAAAGACCGCCTCCGTGGTCGAGGGGTTAGAGTCGATGACTTCTAATCAAGTTACCTCTCTGGCGTGGGTTCGATCCCCGGGAGATGCTTTGGTAGTTTAGCGCGGAGGAAGGTAGTCTAGTACTGGTGTAACTCTCCAGGAACGATGGTTAGGAAACTACCCGCCTATATGACTGAAATACTGTTGAAAAAGGCGTAAAATGAAACAAACAAACAAAAACAAAATCAAATGGAGAAATAATCTCAAAAAATTATTTCCAGTCCCGTCATGTCAAAAAACCTTAGTGGAGTCCCTTTAATAAGTTTTGCTACGTTTTTATATTGAAATACAGTGCAGTAAATGGAGATCAAGGTCTCTAACCTAAGATATAACAAATAATAGAAAGTAATAATAAAAATAATATAATTAGAAAGTATCATGAATAAAGTAATATTCTAAATTAACAAAAAAGTTTTACTCTTTCCTAGTTACTGTAGGACAAAAGCGCTGTTTTAAATACATGTAATTGTTTCTTTGGACAGCTTTCAGCGTTATTCGTTCTTGCCTATGAATTGCTGTCGATGTTATCATTAAAAAGAGGCGGACAGCTGATAACGTTACTAAAATTTTGATGACACTCAAACTTAAATACCTTATAACTTTAACAGAAAAGCTTTTTTGAAGGTATGGTTTGGAATGTTAAATGACGAAATGTTGACGTTTATGAATCGTATGAAAAAATGATTAATTATCATGAGAAAATATAAGTTTTTGTGACTTCAAACTAAAAATACCGCATCTCATCGGATAGTGTGGTTATTTTCAGTCAAAATTCATGTGAAGTAAAGCTTGCACAGGGCCAGAAATTTGTTAGCATGCTCCTTTGGATGTTGACTATGAATCCATAACATTGATTTACTCGAATACAGTTGGGATAGGTTAAAAATAGATGAATACTTACCGTAAGTCAATTGTATTCCCCGCGCCGACATGTATATACTGGTACAGCCTTGGACGCTGGAACAGCTGTCTGCCCATTTGATTGTACGGTGTGTATATATTGATTGCAAAATACTAAAGAAAGCTTGTGTTGCAATTTGTTTGATGTCAAGCTACATATACTCAAAACTTTAGTGGCCTATTTATTGTTAAATATGTGTAAGCTGGCGTAGGTTAAGGTCTTTTTATGCATTGTGCTGAATCAATAGCACCTCTAAAATATGTGTATACATGCTGTCATTAGCTGTTACCTAGATTTGCTGTCTAGATTTGCTGTCTATATGATCCAAAACAGAGAACTTCTTTTATTTACATGAAATACTACACAGAATATTTATTAAGTCTTGTAAGTGATGGCTTTCTAAGAGATAAAATAAACAAGGTATACATAAATTGATAATCAACATACATACATTTGGACATTTAATTTTTACTTATTGAAAAACAAAATGGGGAAAATGGGAAAATACACGTATATGGTAAAAAAAAAGTTATGTACGAAAGGGTACATACAACTTTGGTTATAATTTTACTATTGTTAAAAGATTTTTTTCTTGTTAAGTCGTACGCTAGAATTAAGGTTACTAATATAATAGTACTACTAGGAAAGACAACAGCCAGAATTTGGTCTGTATTAGTAATTACTCGTATCTTATCAGATGTTGACTTGAAATTTTGAAAGTGGTAAGGTAGCAGCTTAACTGTAAATGTTACTCATTCCTATGCAAATTGGAATCCAATCAGTAAAATTTATTTGTCGTTGAATATAGTCTTTTCAATCGTTTTCAAATATTTAACCTCAGACAGTTTGTAACCTGGTGTTTTTTTTGGTGTTTTTTTTTTTTAAGTTTCTTTTTCCAGGAAATGTGGTGTCTACAACGTTTTGAAACTTATATGCCTATATTCCTTAAAAGTCCACTGATGTTGATTGTAGGCAATCATGCAAGTGAATTATGTTTAGTAACTAAACACCTAAAAGGTATGATAAACGGAAACTACGCCGCTTCTTGTCGCCGACGGTAAATACCGAAAATGAGCGGAAAATACGTTTATTTACGATGATTTAGTAGGCGGGGAAATGGACGGAGCTTATTTTATCTCGTATTGAAAAACGTGTAAAGCTGGGTTATGCTGATCTGAATCATGATGGTTCGACAGTGTAAAGCTAAGAATGTAACTTCTGTTTTGAGTATTCGAACACTTGGAATTGCTACTATCACTTAATGTTTTGTCGTTTAACAAAATGTATTTTGTTGAAATGCATGTTTACAATGTTAAATCGGCAAACTCAATCCAAGTATGCAACATTGGAGTTTACATACAAAGAAATACAATTGTATTTTTTTCCATTAGCAAACTGTTCAACTCAGATCAACAAGGCTGGATTTTTGGCAACGAATAGCCTCCATAATATATAAATATTGCTCGGTGGCTTATCAAGATCGTTTCCTTGAAATTACTTAAATGTCGCCACTCTTGGTTCGAATTTTGAGGAAGCCTTCCAGCGAGTACACGGAAAATCAACGGTTCTACTTAGGTGTTTCTCGTGTCCTTGCGTGTTCTGAATTCAAAACTGTGTCATTTCGATGCTAGAGGACGTGCACGGTAGCATTCATTTACCACTTCTTTCCATGAGCATGCTGCAACATTTCAGGTTTTCCGGTTTTGTCCATTCTTTAAGGTTTCTTTTTTTTACCAGTCACAGTTTTGCACACTATTTATCCCCCGCCGACATTGTTTTGGCGTTGGGGATATTGTTTTGGCGTTGTCCGTCCGTCCGTCCGTCCAAATTTCGTTTCCTCGCTAGTTTTAAGCATCTACTGGCTGGAATTCAACGAAACATTATGGGAATCATCGGCTTGTTGCAGTCAGACCCTTTAACTGAGTTATGGTCTTTGATAAGTTATGCAGTATGCATACAGGGCAATAATCGTTTCCGCGCTACTTCTCTGCAACTACTGGCTGGAATTCAACAAAACTTTATGGGAATCATCAATATCAAGAGATGTGCATATCGTTGGCTTGTTCCGGTCAGACCCTTTAACTCAGAGTTATGACCCTTGATTAGTTATGCTGTATGCATATAGAGCAATATCGCTATTTCTTTGCAACTGCTGTATTGATTTCAACAAAACTTTATGGCAACCATCGATACAAAAAGGCAATTTACATCTCATTGGCATGTCCAGATATTACTATTTTACAGAGTTATGACTCTGTTATTGCCCTGAATATGTATCATGTACAATGAATATTACTGTTTATGCCATGATAAATATATATAAAAAAGCCTTATATCTTCAGTTCGTGTGTAAGTAATAACTTGTACTTGACGGGGGTATAAATTCAACGAATTTGCTTGTTAATTTCCGTTCACTCTTGAAATAACACCAGACAAACTTGGTATTAGCCGGATTTTTGAAAGGCCATACATACTTTTAGAGTGTCAAAGAAGAAATATTGAGAAATAGTTCTGTAAACACTTTTCATGTCTACATGAAACAGTAAAAATTCAACATTTGATTTGAGTTATGCACAAGACCATATCATCTTTTTAGTTAAATTTCATCCATAGATCAGAACACTGTTTACGATCAAATTTAGCAAGTCAATTATGCGCGACACAATAACCACCAGGCAGGTATACACTGCATCCTAACATTTTTAAAAATAAAAATGTACATTGTATAAGAAAGATATATAATGAAGTGAATATAAAATACAAAACTAATAAACTTATACTTGAAATTTATTAACAAAAAAGATAGAATCTAGTAGAATATCAGTTTTAATTAAGGTTCTTACAAACACGTACACATACTGTTTTGTAAACAATGTTAAATTAATAGCGTCGAAAACAAGAAATACAATAAAGAAATACTAAGATTACAAACATCAGAGTCATGTGCAAGGTATCAAACTGTCATTCTAATCTCATGATCTTTGTCGACTAAGATGACGTCACAACGTGAAAATAACGCTCTTTTATTACGTTTAGAAAACACTCATTTGTTGTATCATGACATCACACAGTAAACAAGAAGCATCATGTTTCAAACTAGCATGGTTTGATATTTTCTTCATTCATTATAAAATCGCACAAAAAGATCATTCATACAAATGTGAGTAAACTGTTCTATCTCTAATAAATCCGGGATTATAATTATGTTGAGATTGTATATATTACTGGCCAGGACAGGTACTGGTACAGGTTTCACTGGTGACTGACATCGGCATAGGTTGTTGGCTGAATGGACCATGATAAACAACAATATCGCATGTTTCCTGGCATGTAGGTCCCTGAATAAAATAGAAATTGTGTTGTTTTGTTGTTGTTTTGTTTGTTTGTTTATTTATTTATTTTGCTATTTTAAGTTTATTTTATATTTTAAATTTGGAAGCGTGACAATTACAGTATATTTTGTCAAATACTAACAAACTTTCTTTAAACTAAATTTAAATGAATATTATTTCATAAAATTAAAACCTCAAGCACCCGGTTTCGTTTCACAGAACATATTAAGGCTTAAATTAGTCTACTGACCATATATGAGACAATTTTACATTTTACATTACTGTGTCAGGATTAGCAATTCAGATTAACATTACAGCATCCGCCATAATATTTCTTTTTTTTTTTCAAGAGAATTAATTCAATTTTAAATCTTAAGTTTTTCAATTAAGATAATATTTTTTTTCAGGAGAATTAATTCAATTTTAAATCTTAAGTTTTTCACTTAAGATATTAATTTTTTTCAGGAGAATTAATTCAGTTTTAAATCTTAAGTTTTTCACTTAAGATAAAAATGTTTATTGAAACGGTCTTAAATTAGCACTAAGTTGGATACACTTAAGTCTTTCTATGAAACACAGCCCAGATTTTGCCCTTTGGAACGACAGTACTGTCTTTCAAAGGTATTATTCGTTTTGCAAAAAATGGCATCAAAACAAATTGAAACTTGGAAGGAATTTAAGAAATATTTATACTTACTGCATTTACTCTGAGTTTCATGTCATAATTGATTCCATTCACAATCTGAAGTGAAAAAATATAAACATTGAAGATTACTAAAATCTGTCAACAAAAACTTTTGGTTTGTAATGAACACGAAGATTATTTCCGATACTTTAAAACGTCGCTGTGCATTAATTGTTGTTGAGGCCCACATGGAAGATCGGAAAAGACGTTGCTTACTTACCTCACTCACTCACTCACAAACTCACAAACTCACTCACTCACCAACACACACACTCACCCACTCACTCACTTACGTTGCGTTGCGTTGTTTTGCTTAACTTTTCTTTACGAGTTTACTTTACTCTTTTCTTAACTTTACTTTACTCTTTACTTTACTCTTTACTTCCTTACTAGATTCAGAAACCAACTAGCAAAACAACATCAAAACCAACATAGTTGTTTGTTTTCTGAACAAAAATCCTGTGAAAATGTAAGACAAGATCTTATGCAAGGAAACATCTAATTTAAAGTTGACACTGTAAAAGTCATTTCAGAATTTTTATTATTTAACTTTATCATATTCTTGGAATTGATACAAAAATAACAAAGTTTGCCATCTTATTAAAAAAATATGGACGATTAAAGTTAAACTTTCGTGTCAGTTAAAAGGAACAGCAACTACATGTACAAATAATTCTGTTTTAATCGGTTAATTAACAGTTTTACTTATTTCATCTTTATCTGACAAATAAAACGAAAATTTGAAAAAATGGTTAACTGAAACGGTTATATGCCAGATTTGATAAAACAGAAAGAGGTTGGGTTCAGAAAACCGATAATATTTGTCATCTATCAATGGGGTGTCCTTATATCCTCAAAAAATGATTATCTAGGTACAATTCTGAACATTTTCAAGCACAAAAAATACAATTAAATAAAAAAAAAAGTTGGCAAATATAAATATTTTAAGTTGTTAAACTGCCCTATTTTCACACATTTAACACTAAAAGGTACATATCAATTTGCAAATGTATCTGAATTAAAGAATTTTCTTACAAATGAAAAGGCATACCGTAATCAGCCCAGACCAAAAGGAATATAAAAAAGTTTAAAAGTAAAAAAAGTTGGCTCCCTGTACAGTAGGGCTTGAAACGTCACCATATGCAAGCTCTTTATCCTCACTTAAAATGAATATTCTTTTATATTAGGCATCCAATACCGTAACTTTGAACAGGACAGGGACTGTCAAATAGACACTGCTTTAAATAAAGGTGGCTTCGAACGTCCCAAAGAAATGATGAGATGTTTCAAATTACCTGCTCCTTGACGCATAAAATTCTATCCAGTCTATATCCGTTGCTGTTGCTTGACAGGGCAAAGTTGGCAGCCGCTGTATGTTCTGATGTTATTGTTCTTTCACAGCCACCAAATCCCCCGGGCATTCCTCCACCTCCGGGAAGTACCATTGACAATGTCTGAGCTATGCAGCAGACGACAAATAAACCACATGTTGTCTTGATTGACATTTTGCTAGAACGTCTGAAATAGAATTTAAATTGCGAATCAATATTGATTAAAAATCGGTAAATTTATCAAATACGCTTTAACCTAAGAGAAAGAGAGATGTTAATAAAACTAGAACTCCGCGAGTCGGATTTGTCGCCTTGTAAACAATGTAGTTTAGGGGAAATGGCCAGGACAAAAATGAAATATGAAAAATAACAAAGGGCAATAACTAAAAAAATAATAAGTGCAGAGCAGCAGTTTCTGTAGACTTCACTTCTTATCAATAAGATCTATCATTCTATGATGTTTCAAGTCCATAGCTTTCATACTTGAGGAGAAATGATCAGGACAAAAATAAAGTAAGAAAATCAACAAAGGGCAGTCTCAAAAATAAGAAATGCAGAGTATCAGTTCTTATGCGCTGCACTTTATTTAATTAGATCTATCATCCTATGAAGTTTCAAGTCCATAACTTTTATACTTTCGGAGAAATGGCCAGGACAAAAATTAAGTACGAAAATTAACAAAGGGCCATAACTCAAAAATTAAGAAATGCAGAGTACCGATTCTTGTGCACTGCACTTCTTAATAATGAGATCTATCATCCTATGAAGTTTCAAGTCCATACCTTTTATACTAAAGGAGAAATAGCCCGGACAAAATTAAAGTATGAAAATTAACAAAGGGCAATAACTCAAAAATAAGAACTGCAGAGTACCGGTCCTTGTGCACTGCACTTCGGGTTATTGAAAGAAGCATGCATACCATACCAAGTTTGAAGTCAATCAGACTTATTGTGACTGAGTTATGCTCCGGACAAGCTTTAGGGGACGCCGACGCCGACAACGACAACGACGCCGACACAGACGCCGCCGCCGACACCGCCGACAAAAGTAACCCCTATATGTCACCTTTTCAAGGCGACACAAAAAGAAGGAAAATAAGCAGTATTAGGAATGCATAGGTAATTAAACATCGTAAATAAAACATAATTATATGAAAAATACATGTGAAAATAAGTATCCTTGACTTTTTTTTTTTTTTTTTTTTTTTTTTTTTAAACTTTTTTTTTTTTTTTTGGGTTTTATAAAACATATCAAAAATTCTGTCATTTAAATGCAGTAAAAGTTTTTTGTTTTCGTGCATCGCCCGTTGATTGTAAGTAAGAATATGTTTGTCGCGTTTAATCATAATCCGTGAGTAAACAACACAAATTAAATTTTAAATGAAAACTTAATACCTTTTTGTTTTAAGTTCCAATGTTTCGTAAGATGTCTTCTGTAAGATATGGTCAACAAATCCCTGCACCTTGCTTTTATTACCTTATAAAACCGGATATTTTGTGAAAGGAATGTCGTTTCTCGTCGAAAATAACATTTTTTTACATATAATACGGAGTTTTCCTGTGACGTAGGTATGTTTTTTTATCTCCGCCTCTAGCTGTTGCTAAATAATCGTTGGAGGACAACTTGTGACAGGCTAAATTGGTGGTTTGTTGTTAATGTTGTTCAGCTGCGTAACTTAAATGCAACTTTTAATGGACATAACCCACACTAATGCTGCTAGCAGTAAGAAAATGAGGATATTTAATTTTTGTGTTATTAAATGATGACTGATGATTAACTCTTTGTCAAGTCGCACCTCCTTCCGCTACTACGAATCAATCTTTGTTACATGTTTCGATATTAAATTGAATTAGAGAAAATAAAAATCCATAAAGAAAGTCCAAAACGGCAAAATTGAAAATGTCGAAGGCTTGGTCTGATTGAAATGTTCATGGACGGTACTGTTAAGTGCAAACTACCGTCCACAGCCCCTAGCACCGGCTAAAGCAGAATTCGACATTTAAACATGAAATAGTGAAATTCTGAATTTACAAACATACTCAGATGTTGTTTCATACGGCGGTTAAATGGGAAACAGTAGTGCCATTCGATGAAAAGCGGTATG